TACTAGTCCTGAATTTTTCCGGAGTTAATTTACTTTAGACGGTCTGAAAGACGTTAAAGCGCTAAAGATTCAAATTTTTTCGCCGCTCCATTCGCGTTTCGTGACGTTTTCGGACGCACAAAAGCAATACCCTTCACGAGACGATCACCGTCCGTAACGCACGCCACTGTCCCCGAAATTCCTAGAGGGCGACGTACGTCACGAGTTCGGACAGCATGCATAAACAAGCAGGAACCCCTAGTACAATTCGAAAGAAGTCAATTAATTAATCTTGTCTTGTTGCACGCTGAGCTCCTTGCCGCGAGTATCCTTAGAACGGCGGCGCCAATGGTTAAAGGATCATCAGTTCTCTGTCGGCCAGAATCCGAACGGAGGTGATTGATTGACGGCAGATTAACGTCTCAACACTCCTCGGTTTTTATTTCTACCCAGGAGAGTAGCTAATTGGTACCGTCTTTGTTGTATTTGTGCTAGTTTTGAAACGTTATTTTCTAGTAGATGAATATAAATAAACTTGCCAGTTTTAAAAGTGGACGGAGGCGTTGGTAAATTCAAGAGAAACGGAAGCATCACAGGTAGCGCAACTGTCTTTGTGTCTAACACGTGTCGCAGAAGCACATGCACATCCGCAAGCTCAAAGCACAATATGCGGATATGCGGGTGTCAATGGACAACCGTGTTGGAAATGCGGTCAAACGTGGCCCTGTCGTCCGGCTCACAGGACGTATATCCCAATAGCAAACAGTTCATTGCATATGCAATATCGTCTTCGAAATTGTCCGCTTGACTGGTGGACTTCGTTAGTCGTTGGGATATTGTCAGGACACAGGGAACACGCATAAGCTTCATTTCCCGAATTACCATAAATCGATAAAGCTTAAATTAAATAAATAAGCGATGTGAAATAGTTTTTAAATTTCGATTGTGTTTAATTTAATATGATATATTTATATTAGTTGAAATAAATATTGCAGTCTTTTTATCTTAAAAATAATATTTGCTAGCAAAGAGTATCTTGGTAATAAGAAATGGAATCAGAATCAATTTTGAATAGAGAAAGGGAGATGCATCTTGTTAACTGGATTGTTACAATTACAGCAGATTTGCCAATAACAAAAATTGAAGTTCTGGATAGTTTTAAATAAATAATAAGAAATCATTCATTAATGATCGCCCAGGAAAAACTTGGATTAAACAATAAAGCATGCTTAAAACGACTTAATTTAATATCCAGCTGAGGCATCACTTTCAAACATTAAGAGTGTTTTGCTGGAGAACAATGCACATGATATTCTTGAAGATTCAACCTGAGTTTTCAATGCCAGCTAGAAAACTTAATATACCCATTAGATAGTCTTGTGCTTTTTGCCCTCACCCACTAGCAATATGGGGAAACGTTTTGCTTGCACTAAAATATTGTCTGACAATTGTCATCCTTTTCTTGTGCACTCATTAATTCAACATCTTATGCCAAACAAGGATAGTGATCGCGACTTGTCATTTAGTTCAGAAAATAAAGCTTTAGAACATTGTAACAGTGATTCAAAGGTGAAGCTTAGTAGAGGAAGAATGTAGTAATGATTACACTCTTGCTTTAGCTCTGCAATGGTTTTGAATACCACAAGATGCTTCTCCACCTCTACCATTTGCTTTCAGTTAACCTCTTAGTTTAAAAAAATTTGATGTTGGTGATTATAGTAGCCTAAAAGTGATGAGCGAAGCATTATTATTGAACAAAAACTTCATTATATACATCATTTTCTCTCTTAGATCTGGCAGTGTGAAACAAAATTACGAGCATTTCAAGAAGTGCACGGTCATTAAAACTCTAACACTACTGAGATCACCAGCACATCTCTGCTTCGCAAGCAGTGACGAATACAGTTTTAGATGAGTAAATAATTATTTTAATATGTATTTATGTTTATAATTTATAAGTTGAAGAGGGGATGGATGACAGATGAACACGTTTCTGGACTAAGGATGATGAACTAAGGTTCGCAATAATCAAAAATTCTTATGAATAAGGAAAAAGACGTTAATTCATAAATTCAAAGAACAACACCAAAGGAAAAATTATTCCTTCGGCTGTTAAACGCGCTATACTTCTCCATAATTTAAAGAAGATAGTAATCGTAGCAAAAATGTAGCCAAAACGTGTTTGTAAGTACTCTTTATTAATTGGTTAATTATTAAAAACAACAAATTTATGGATAAATTTTCAAAAAACCACTATCTTCTTGATCTACTTTTAGTTAACTTGTAGTTTAAAATAACCACTAAAAATGCTTTATTTTGGATCATTTAAGTGTAGAGAAAACGAATTCCGATTGGTGTTAATTTTTTCTTTCAAAGGGGACTATTAATTTATCTTCACACTCATTTATATCAATCATAATCATGTTGAACGTTACTTTTAACATTTGCATAATTCCAACTAGTATTTCCGAAAGGTCTTACGTATCGTATGCTTTTCAATCTTATTGTTTCATTTAAGAATATTGCACAATTCATGAATAATTCTATAAAGACGTTGTAAAATAACCTTGTTAATCTTGTTATAATAGCTGACCAGAAACTACATTCACTTGTAACAATATTATTCTAAGTAATTTATAATATTTCTTTCCGTCAATAATTGCGGATTTGGAATACTTAATTAAAAACATTAATCCAAACAACTTATATATAATTTAGAATTAAAGTGGAGTAATATTTTGTCACCACGTAAACAACCGGTAATTATGTCATTGTATGAATGGCGTTGAAAAGAAGACGCAAATACATTTTTAATAGACTTCGAGCACAATGATTTGTGTGTTCGATTACACTAATACATTGGCAATTGCAAGAAGGTTCGTTCATTATAATGCGTTGTTTTTCAATGTTAAACATCATTTAAATCTTTCGCGCTCAAGACGCTATTCTTAACAACATTTTTTGACACTTCTCTATCTTCTTAATAGAAACCTATTTATAATACCATAACATTCTTATTTGATTATAACGAAATTTTGGTTTTGCCAAAATCTTCCCAACCAGAAACATATTATTTCTCATATAGTTATTTGTAAATTTATTTTGCAAAGCAGCAAAACAGTAGCAAAGTTAAAAACGAATTCAACAGAAGATCACGCAAAACTGTTTCATGTATTTATCATATTTTGACAACAACAAACTTTACTGGAATACGTATAATCAGGTTAATGTGTGATGGATGTGGATGTCAGAATAAAAATAACACCTTCATCGGAATGTGCAGCATATCAAAAATAGAAGCATCTGTCCCCATTTGAGGTCACTCCTTTATTTCAAATCATTGTATTCAGTTGTCAACAACTTGTGTCATGGCACTTTTCATTTACGAAATGCCAATGGATAAACTGGAGCTAATTTGCTAAGACTTTGAAAAAAGTACAAGTGTAATTATGAACTCAACCCTTTTAAACGAATAAATGTCCAACATTTTTGAAGGTAGTGTAAGTTACTAAATCAATTTAGCTTTCAACATTTTGTGAAAACAAGTATATTCAAATTATCCCCAATAATTGCAAACAAATCTGCTCGACCTCTCATTTGGCAAAGCAAATAAAATGGATAGTGTAAACTAGTTTTAGAAAACCACCGAAGGGAAGTTTATGGATTCCAAAAGGTTGCGTAAATGGTTTAAGGGTAGCAAGTGCAAGAATGTGGAAGGATTAATGTGTCAAATCACATAATAAATAGTAAAATCACATAAAGGTTGTTGCTTCTAGTGAAAAACAAAGTATAAGGTGGAGCAAATTACTTTTGCGTTAAAACATCAATTCAAAAAATAGAGCTTTACATTTTTTTCATTTGTAAGAAAATGGCAACCAATTTACAGTACAACATTACTTTTGTCCTACCTAGTATTATTAATGTTTCTTCAACGTAACTAGATCTGAGTGTATTTATCGTATACTGTTTTAATTCTACAGTCTCATTGGATTTTGTTCTATCTACTTCTGACTGTGGCTATATAAACATTCAGTAAGGTATTTTGAGAACGCCATGAGTTGGCAAAAAGAAAGAAAAATGTTGATAGCAACATGGCCACAAGTACATTAATATCACAGCCTTCAATCTTTGCCGTAAATGTTCAAGATGATGTCGTTATGGCGTTTCTATACGAATCAAAAATGCTAAATCTAATCTGCTTAAATCTAATTAAATTGTAATTGTTAAAAATGCGCCCCAAAGATGTTTCTAGTTTAAAGAAGAACGTTGTTACAGTTTTGATAGATTAAAATACAATGAATTAGTTCAATATTGCCATGTTCGTTTAACATTGGACAACAGTATTTGATAGAAGACCTTATCTTACGTAACGATAAAGTGTATTTGTTTAGAATCCGCACTTCATGCCGATTACTACCACTTGACGACAAAATCGTTTCATAAGGCAACTACTGAAACAGGAAGATAAAATCTCTTGAAATTTCAATTGAACACATTGTTAATGTCAATAAGGATTTGTTCTTTTACCTTTAACTAGGGCACAATAACTGTCACAATAACTGTATACTGTCAGAATCAAAAGTATTATGTAATTAATTTCCTAGCAAGAAAGTAAAAAATTAAACTAGATGAAAAATGTTTTCTGAAATTTGAAGTAACCGAAATTTTTGTTGTTAATTTTCAACAACGACACCCATTTTTAAAGTTCTTTTCAAGATTTTTTCAAAACAATTTCTTTCAATTCCATGTAAAAAAAGTTTTTTGGAAAAAAAATGTTTTTTTTTTGTGTAGAAACTGATGAATTTTTTAAAGTACTTAAATAATATATTTTTGTAACAAAATTGATTAAGTTAGTTCTGTTGTAAAATCAGTAATTTGATAGATTTACGGTGTAATAAAGAACATTGTTTAGACCGCAAACCGTATGGTGGCGCTACTAGTCCTAAATCTATAAAATCATGTATCTACAGTCTTAAATTTATGAGAACTAAATCTTAACATAAAATAAGATAATAACTGACCTTTGAGACATTTCAACTTTTTTACTAAAACTTCTCGGTCGAACTCTTCGAAGTCTTCTTTTTCGTTTTCGACAAAAGCGTTATACTTTCTGATCGACTTGTTCTTGTGGCGCATCTTCGCTTCTCAATTTGCCCCCTCAAGTCGTGACATCTTCCCCGGTAAACAGAAACGAAACATAAAAATCGAACTAATCCTCTTCGCGAAAAACGCCAAATAAACAAATTCGAAAAAATAGCAACAAGAACAAAAACTCAAAATAAAAAATTAATAGTATACGAAACACAAAAAACAAACGATGCACACCGGTTGTTTGTAGGGCGGATTTTCGGTTGTTACAGATAAAAAATAAAAACGGCGACGTCGCAAACAAAACACTGCCGAAGCACTTGTAAAACAATATCGAAACGAGTTCACCGAGTCACGTGATATAAACAAAAGGCGAAAAAAAGAGTAGCGGTGGCGGCGAAGGCAACAGCTAAAGCTGATCGCGCGGAGTGCGAGCGTGATGACAAGTGAGGATCTGCGAGAGAGCCAGCCGATGTTCACCTTCGGCTCAGTCAGCGTGTTCTGGCCTCGTGCGCCTGGCGTCGAGGTTACGCGACGTAGTTCACCCCTCGACCACTGGGCGCGCACTGTGCGCTCCGCGTGCCTAACTAAGCCACCCTATCCCTTCCGAACCAGTCAAAAGTTAGAGTGGCTTTGACGCACCCCCACCTCGCTTACTCCAACACTTTTGGGGTGCTCTCATACCGCTTTTAGATGAGTATCTTCCCCCACTCCTAACTATCCTTCAATGTTAGATTTTTACATTTTCATTACCCATTTACTCAAACATTTTTAGGTATTTATACGTACTTCATTAACATTAGTCCAACTTATTAAGTATATACTACAAATATTAGATCAAAATTTGTTATATACTTTTTATTAATACAAGGTGTTGAAATTATTGAGATGTAAAGATTCTAGATTTTAAATGTAGCCTATATTAAATCTGAAGTACTTAACATAATTTGTTTCTGTAATTTCTTTTTATAGTAAAGGAGAAAATCTTGTCGATATCGAAGGATAATAACTTTCTTGACGTGATTTCTCGAAATGTCAGTTTGAGGTTATCTGGGTTGTTACTTTCTGTATCAAATCGGTACACATTTTGTCAGATCTAAATAACGTCTGGTATTTTACGAAAATTTTAATATAAAGTATTATACAGAAAAGCATTTTCAACCCATTTATTTGCTGGGAACCTAAGTTATCGCTTAATTAAGCCAAGGTCGCCTTGCGGCCGAGGCGCTACAATCCATAACAATATTAATCAAAATTTCCAAACAATTTTGAGTAATAAATGGTAATTTGACTACGTTTATGTAATGTAATGTTAATTTATGTAGTTTTCAAGGGGAATTCGGGTATACTTGCAAGAAACGCATGATTTTATGTAATTTAACCTAGGTTAGTTGCGGCCGAGGGTTGAAATCGAAAGAATTTTAAACTCTATCGGGCAGATTTCACAACGTTTGACTGTAATTAGATTTTCAGAGGAATGTATACAACGAGTCTATTAGAGAAACTACATTCTGTATCATATCGATACAAATTTGAACAGTTTTAAACGATGTTTGGCATTTTTCCAATAATTGGATATACATAGTGTTCGAGACAAATAGTTACAACACGTTTCCATGTTGTTTAATTGGGCCGTTTTACGCCGAGGCGTTACAATCGGTACCATATTATTAATAAATCCACACAATTTTTAACCTATCTGGTCAAACTCTTAACGCTTGCAGCCGAGGTGCTACATTTTGTACCGTATCGATACAAATTTGGTCAGTTTTAAACAACATTTTCCATTTCAAACAACATTCGAATGTAAATAGTTTACAACCTGTTTCCGGAAAACTCGTGGCTGCTGTCTGATTGATGAAGCTAAGGTCACATCAAGGTCAATTTTAAACAAATTTATTTAATTTATTCATGTTTAAGGGCTTTAGTTTATGAAAAACTATGGGATTTTATAATAAAAATTTGTTTTTGTATTTGTCAAAATGAAGTGGAGATTTTAAAAAATCATGGTGACTTTAATTTGAATCGCATTGCGATGATTTATACGTTAAATTAAAGCCGAAATGTTCTATTTTATGGTGAGATTAAAAAAATTTATGGCTTTATACGAAAAAAATCCAGAAAAGAGTTTTAAATAAAAAATTACAATTTTAAGATATGTTAAAATATGGCAGAAAATGACGACACTTTAAAAAAGTTATTTTATCTTTATTTCTGGGTGTTAAGCGGCACTTTATATCTGAAATTGAAGCTAAAAAATTTTAGTTTATGATGGGCTATAAAAACCACGGTATTTTATAATAAAAATTATTAGAAAAAAAATATTAATGAAAAATTGACAGATGAACTAACACTAGCACTAGAACTAGGAACATTTGGATATAGCCGTGCGTCTCTTTAAGACGGGTAAACCTGAATATTTCTAGTTGTAGGTCTAGTGTTAGTTTTAGATTTAGTTCAATAAAAATATACAACAATCTAATGCTGAATAATAACTAAAACTAGAACTAACGACCCGAATGTTTCTAGTTCTAGGTCTAGCGTTAGTTCTACGCTTAGTTCAATAAACATATACAGCAATCTAGCGCTGAATAACAAGTAAAATTAAACTAATGTCAAATGAAATTATTATCATCGTTGCCTCTTTCCATCGTTTAGAATCAATAAAGCTCGACTTTTTGCACTTTTCTGATAGAGTTTGTTTTATTTTCGGTTCTACCGGTTCCGATTTAATTATAAATCATCTTCAGGAAAATCTGAACCACGTCAACTTTGAATGCAACGTCATGAACACATTAAGAAAACATTTTTATTCTACTTATTTAACTATTATTATATTATATAACTTATTTATTCCTTTAAAAAGCAAAGTTCTTACATAATTTTTTTTTGTACATAAACCTCTTATAGTTTCTGAAACGATGATAATTTTTTGAGGTTAGCCAACCTTAAATTTAAAGTTGACGTGGTTCCGGTTTTCCTGAAGATGATTTATAATTAAATCGAAACCAGTAAAAACAAAAATAAAACAAAAATTCATTAGAAAAGTGTAAAAAGTCGAGTTTTAGTTAGTTCAAATTGCGCAGAATTATGCAAGCAACATTTTTTACATTTTCAATAATTACTTTAATTTTTTTCTTTTATTATTTAGATTAAAAAACATTAGTTAATTTACCTACTTTATGTCCATAGCACAAATTATATTAACTATCTTTAACTATCCTCTAAAAACATTGGTCTGTATCGAATAATAAAAAGCGGATTATCTTGAAAACGATAAACTTTAGCGCATTTTGATAAGAGTACCCTTTTTGCTTAAAAAGTATAGAGAATAAGAATTTTTATTCAAAAAGCCAAAAAGTATACTGTCAGAAAAGTTATTGTTATTTTAATCCATAAAAAAACGATACAGAGTACCCTTTAACGGCGATAGTAAAACGACCTCCGTATACCAAATTTGAAAAGATTCGGTTAAAATACACGTGTAATATTAAATAAAAATCAATTTAAAAATTTAATTTGAACATCTTGTACCTCCAAAACAGCGTTTGTTGACCTATGTTTATATGAAGTTTTTGTGTTAATTTTAAAAGATCTGTTAAAGTCTTGCTACAAAAACCTGAAACACTCTGTATACTATATAATTTATTACCTAAAACTCTAAGATCTAATCTATTCTACTTTCTAAAATGTGAGTAAGCATATTATCCTTTTCAAATCAGTGAAAAGTTAGAGTGGGTTTGACGTACCCTGACGACCTATGTTTGGCCGAAGCTTTTTGGGGTGCAGTAGGGGTTCGGGAGGAAATGTCCAACGTTACTCTCATACTACCGAGAACGATGCTAGCCAGCAGGACGACAGCGACAGGACAGCTTCTGATGACGAGGACCCAGATCCTCCTGTCGTCGTTTCATCTGCCCGTGACAGCAGCGGCTTCGGACGTGTCGACGCGTCCGGACCTGGATGATACGTTCGTCCATGGCGTCGTTTCCGAAAAGAATATCGCACAAGTCAACCCATGATACGCGTCTGGATCTGACACGTTCTATATTTTAATGCCAGGGAATACGAATCCAATCGTCGAGGACGTTTTAATATGGTTTTCAAAAATGAAACAAAAAAAGTGATATGAAAATATAACACCTTCATAATTGTATTTTGAAGATTCGGTAACATTTGATTGTTAAAAAAAGGAGTGGATTTACGAAGGTGTAAAAACACTGAAGTACTTTTTTAGTCTGTACATGTAGGACAAGCGGAAAACACGTCGAACACGTCGCAAAAAAAGGGCCCAAAACGTCGAGGGCGAACTAGATGGCGCTTTATAGTGGGGCGCACCTGCATAAAGAGAGGCACTTACCGCGTGCCGTGTTGCATCCTGTAAACCACGTACATTCCACACAAATGATCTCGTAATTTATACAGCCATTGCTGCGTATCAAACAATGCCTCATCACACCATAGATTGATTTACCATAAACGATATTGCCATGCCATCGTTACAAAAATGTATAATGCAAAATAAGTATTTAAGTTATTTATGACTAATAAATTATATTGTCATAATTAAGTGTTTTATATCTATTACATATGAACATATTATCATAATTAGATCTTTATGGTATATAATTACAAACATAAGATAAGCAAACTCGCAAACAGCCAAAGTAGTATTATAGAAAATGTAGAAAAATATCGAAAGTTAACTGCGTCATCTGTTACGGTGTACGAATGACGTTTAACTCAGTGTTGATTCTCTGTCGTAGTTGAGTGCTGTAACACAATCATGTATTGAACAAGGATGGTTGTTGTAGACACGAGAGAGGCCGGCGTTTACACTCGTTTCTAATTAACCTTTTATACGGCCTCCTATAAACTAATATTCGATACGGCCTATAATATTGTTTTATGTTTCATGATAATTATGGTTTACGACCACCGCGTATAATTCCATAGTATGTGAGCGAAGCTGAGCTGCGCAGCGCCCTCTGTCCGCCGTCACGTAGAAATAATATTGAGGGCGCGTTTATGGCAAGTCGCGGTCAAACTTTAATCACATCTCGTTTTTGAGGTGCCTTCAGTTAGACAATTGTTGTTTGCACACTTTTTGTTCATGGTGTAAATTCGTAAATTGCAGTGCACCATGAACAATCTTGAAACATACACAGTCCTCTAACGATTAATCGCGGTTTTCTCCTTTTAAAGACATCCTTTAACCATAACAATAACTGACCATTCCAAGTCAGCACTTTGTGGGTTAAGATCATATAGAGCACAATTATTGGTTTATACATTTATCAACGTTATTTATTTACTTCACCACCATGGCTTATACGACTTTTTTAACTACTTTAAAATGACTTCAGCGGATTTAAAAGCAAGAGATTGAAAAGAAGTGTTTAATTCGAAATTTCCCATCACATTAAAAAGCCCCAATTTACATACCACTCGTTCAATGAGGACCCAGTCAGCTAGGTTTACGGCCAACTTACCTGAAACAGAGAAACAACGTAAGTGAATGAATAAATCAGCGGCAACTCATGCG